CATATTCTGGATCAATATTAGTTATATAATGGATGTCCATAGAATTAGGACAGATATATTTAAGACTTTTTCAGGACATCCCTAAGAATGCTTGTGGGATATTCTAAAGTTATTCTAAAATCATTCTAAAGTCGTCCTAAAAAAGTCAGGATGCCTGAGGCTGAATGGAGAACGTCCCGAGAACGTCTCCAGGTCGTAATAAGGCACTTATTTGCTAGTCTACAGGACGTCCAAAAATTTTTGTCTAAGTGTAATGTCCTAAACATGTCCTACATAAACATGTCCCGGGATATTCAGGACATATACAAAATCATCCTGAGGACGTCCTATGCTGTTAGGGATCTTGATCTGCGTTTGCAGAATTTTTTGTGGCTATACTGTTGACAGTTTGCCCACTGCGGTATATCTCTTCTAGGTCGAGGTACCATACGATATTGCAAGAGGTACTAAGTTTTATATATTTTCTTATTGTTAACATTAGGATTCAAATCGACAAAGAAAATCGGGGTTTCTTAGTCACTCTTTGTTTCACGTTCTATATATTGGAGATACTATGACTCAATTGTTCTGTAGCTTCTTTAATCTCATCAGTATTAGTCAATAGGTGCATGTTATTTAGTATAATTCTGAAACTTTCCTTATGTTTTAGATTAAATGTGTAGAATTCTTGTTGCTAGTTTTTTAACTATAACAATATATGCTTTGGTAGATTTAGGTTAGATCTTTACCTGTTTGATATCAAGTTAATCTCGTAGTCTTGGTGAACAGTTTCATTCAAAAGTTTAGTGAGTGGCTGGATATTGCTAACCTCATCAACAAAAATTGGGAGAGATTTTGGGTTGCTTCTCTAGTTGATCAGACTCAATCGAGTCCTCAATATTCGAATCCTGTTAGTCACTGTCAAGTTCTTGGAATCTATTTGATATTGGAATCTGCTCTAGTTAGTAAATATTTATTTTAGTTTGTTTATAGATCTAGATATTTATCTTCACAGAACTGTTTCTTAATCTTTTCATAGAGATGATAACTGTAGTCCATAAGTCCTGACGAGTCTTCTTTTGAGTTGTTTTTTTGTGACTGGACGAAAGTGTCAATGTTGTTGTCCCTTTCACAGGCAGCAATGCTGGATTGAGTTCCACTAAATGAGTACGAGCGAGTTCTGTGGTCCAGTTTTTACAATCTGTTGGAGCTGTAGACTTTTTTTGTAATTTTGAATTGTTGGTTTTGCCAGCAAAAGACTCCAGCAATTTTGATAGTGTTCTTGGTGTTTTTGTGCTCCTTATAAGCATTTGCAAGCAATAGTTGGCCCTTCCCAGAATACATACGACCGGCTTCTGTAGAGAGTGGATTTTTCAGTATGATTGATTTACTGAGGTAGTATTTCCATTCGTTTCGTCCATTGCTTGATTTGCTGTTAATCCACGAGAGTTACTTTATTTCCCTCCTACCCTGCGATTTCTAAGATCCGCCGAACTATCTCCCCATTCGCCACCCGGGGAACGCGTTCTCTAGCGGTTACAGCTCCGCCGAGGGACAGATTCCTGATAATTATAATCATATTTGGAAACAAAATTTTAAAAATATAGAAACAAAGCTGTAAAATATTCAGATTTTAGTCCTTTATTTTCCCAAAGAAGATATGGTCATCATATGGTTATGTATTAAACGTTATGCAGAATGTTCCCGCTATGTTCCCGCTTCATGGACGTTGATTAGATGCAGTATATGGCCTTTAGACGATAGTTAAATTGTTGTTCAAAAAAGATACGTTGTTATATATTTCCATTTTTTTCAAATAGCAACTATGTATTTTCTTTACACCGATTGGCTCATCTCATTATTCATGCATAAATGTAAAATATAGTTGCCAAAACATGAATAGTTTACAAGATATATTTTCTATGTACCTTATGTCAAATTGCATATCAAATTCAAATCTTATAATATAAATGCCTCTAACACGCGCGCCGAAGACCTCTCGCACCGTCGCGCCCGCACCGCGTCTACCATGAACACGCCGAATTCGCGGAACAGACAGCGAGCGAAATCTATTATAATGATTCCTGGAACCGCTTTTCCCGAAACATACCAAAATCCGGGACAAATACATTGTAAATATTGTACCTAACAACAACCCCGTCAGCAAAACTGTAAATACTTCAAGCTAGCGATAAATATAAATCTTTGTATGTAACGTAAAGAGGCTCTCGATATTTTATTTCTCTCCGCATAATCTTGACCACATCCGACCGACACTATCCTGCGAAATACGTCGAAACCATGAGCCGCGACGAACAGGGGAAACGTTTTATGGTTAACTAACTGAGAAAGTACTTACTAAAAAAAATATAATGTTTTGAAAAGCTCTTAAGAATGCGTAATAAAAAATTGGAGTTTTCATTAAAAAAAAAAAAAAACAAAGTGGACCTTTATATAACGTTGGCATGTCCAAAGTCAAACTGATAAGATCAGTAAATAGATCTTCTTGAACCTTACAACTTTTGTTTGAAATATTTCTTCCAAAAACGCCATTCTTCCGAGTAAATCCGGGATCTTGATCTTATTGAACACTCTGTATATCCGGATCTGGCTATTGCCCTCTTCACTTGTTTTCAGATGAGAGGAAGTCCCCGTGGCGAGATATCTATGGTAATTTCTAATAATAGTTAAGCCTTTAAAATCTGAATCCTTTCCAAAACTTCTAATACATTATTGCTTAGCTTCAAGTTTTAAAGATAGATAAAATTTAGTTTTTGACAGTTTGAGCTTCATTTTTCTCTAAAATTTATTATGCCAATAGATTTTCACTTGTAAATTTAACAAATCAATACACAATTTTTTAAAATTTTGATGTAGATCAGTTAATATAAAATTACATAACTTTCAATTAATCAGTTTTTTTTGAACTTTAATAATACTTTAATAACTTTAATAAATTTTGCATTATTTAAAACAGTTACTATTTCTATTCGTATCTTTATTTGGATTTTACTATTTCTTTAATGTTTAATGTTTTATTTATTGTATATATTATTAGATAATGGAAAATTATTGCAAATTAATTAAAGATATGATATGAAATAAAATAAATAATAAAAAAAAATGTTTTTAAACTTTATATGTAATGAAAAAAATGTAAGCTTAGTCCAATGAATAAACCATTCATCAATAACCAATTCTTCTTATGCTCTCAGAGCTTATCTCCATACTTAAAAATTCTTTTTTCGACACATAGAAGATGGAAAAGTACAGAAATAGAAGATAGAAAAAAAATAGGAAGAAAAGATCGTGGGCTGTTTTGTTGCAGCTGACGGACAGATCATGGTTGACGAGGACGAGTTCGATGATTTTGGAGATTCTAAATGTTCGCTGTGCCAGCGCAGATTTGAAGAGCAAGGTAAAAATCATATCTATCTCTTCGATACAAATATATGAAACGATAAAGCCCATAAAGCTTTAAAGAAGAACAAATGAGGGAGAGAGAGAGAGAGAGAGAGAGAGAGAGAGAGAGAGAGAGAGAGACGAC